GCTCTTGTTGCCCAGGCTGGAGTGCAATGGCACAATCTTGACTCACCGCAACCTCCACCTCCCAGGTACAAGCAATTCTGCCTTAGCCTCCCAAACAGCTGGGATTATAGGTGCATGCCACCACTCCCAGCTAATTTTTTGTATTTAGTGGAGATGGGGTTTCACCATGTAAGTCAAGCTGGTCTCGAACTCCTGACCTCAGGTGATCCATCTGCCTTGGCCTCCCAAAGAAATCTCTTTATATATTCGAGGAACTTGGTGTTTTTGAGAAACTCGCCTAAGGATTCTCAACCTAATTGCCTGCTGGAAGTTAGTGAATGAGAGGCAGGAACAAGCTTCCACCTCTCTATCTTCAGAGAGTCAATGTTCTCTCTTCTTAGCACTGGGCTTATGACGGATGACAGAGCCAGAAACTCACGTGGAAGGCAAACTGGCCAGAGAAATCATACATGCCGCAGGAATGCATGAGGCTGAGGGTGTTGCGCACTGCTTCAGCACTCAGCACACTCTCCCCTGTGATGGGGCAGATCCCGCCATTGGCGAGGGTGGCTGCCATGACACTGCCTGATTCACAGGTGACCTCCACAGAGCACAGCTATGAAAACAAAGAATAGGTGAAGATGTGATGTGAACCTGCACATGGTACTCTTGGCTGTAGAGTAGGAAAATCTGTCCTTTCCCTCACCTTGGCCCTGAGCAGTGTTTTCTTACCTGGAAGTAGAGATCAAGGGCAGCCATCATGTCCACTCCCTTAGGAAAGCACTGCAAGGAAGAGAGGGGAGAGCATTTCTCTTCAGGACATCAGCAGCCCTTTCACACTGTCAGGGTCTCAGCAGAAGCCTCCAACCCCACTGCCCTTCCACTAGCAGCAGAATTCACAGGGACTTTCTCTACCAGCCTCTCCTGGTTACCTTTTTTTCCTTGAGATAATAGCCGATGGCATAATTCCGATCCCCTGTTTCCTTCTCTGACTGGAATCTGAAGCAAACACCCAATTTAGTACTTGAAGTTGGAGGAGTGGGTATTGGGAGAAGGAGAAAAATTACCTTCCCTGAGAGAGACAGAACTACATCACACCACAAACTAAATGAACCCCTTATAAAACTTCTATCAGTAATATTAGAGGAAATTTCTGAACCTGAGCAAACATTCAGCATAGCTTTGTCATAAAGTAGACCCAAACCAAACACCCAGAACTGCCTAGTCATCTAGTCTAGGAAAACTGGTGACGTTTTTGGCTTTGAAAGTCTTGGCAAGAAAGGGCTTAGGCACAAACCATCACACTGCCTCTCTCATTATGTACTAATTAGAAATGGAACAAATTATTTTACAAGGTAAAAAAATGTTAATGAAGGGGCTCAGAGAAAGCTGGAGTGCCAAGGTTCCCCTGGGATTTCTTCCTTCTAAGATTCTCTCTCCCCCTTTCCTCTTGTCCCCCTCCTTTCAGTCAGTCCTCTGAATAGGGACTTACGTGGCATTGCTGAAACCCATGTATTCATTCCCAGCCATTTTGTTGAGATACTGCAACACCTGGAAGAGAAAAAGGGACATTGAGGCTCCACTTGACTAAGGACCTCTATTAATACCTCATAGGCTGACAAGCCCTTCTGAACTCAGGTCTTGTCAACAGGCTTTCCTCTCTGAGGCCAGCAGATTTCCATACTTAGGGAAATAAGGCTTCTAGTATGGGCTGGCGCACCTGGTAATGGGGTTAGAGACAGCCACTGGGGCAGCTAGAGAGGACTGCATGCCATGGAGAAATGCAACCGGGGTTAAGTAGCAAGGGAACTTACAAAATCAAACTTCTCTGCTTTGTTACAGTCCATCTGCAAAGAAAGAGAGAGAGATGTCAGTATTCTAAATCCACGAGGATGGCAGAGGGACGAGTCAAGGATGTAGTGGAGTTAAAGTGTCAGACTGCTGCTGCAAATGTGTTCAATTTTATAAAGGCCTTTTTTTTTTCTTCTTAAAACACGGCACTTCCAATGGCTCTTCCCTTTCCTTTTTTTTTTTTTTTTTTTTGAGAGAGTCTTGCTTTATCACTAGGCTAGAGTGCAGTGGCACAATCATGGTTCACTGCAGCTTCCACCTCCCAGCCTCAAGTGATCCTCCCAACTCAGCCTCCGAGGTAGCTGGGGTTACAGGCATGAGCCACCTTGCTGGGCCATCCCACTTCCATTTTCAATCCAAACCCTCATCCCTGACACCCACATTCATTTCCCTGACTCTAATCCTGTCCCCCAGCCCCACCCTATCCCTGACCTCCATCCTCATTCCTTACGTCTCATGCTATAGCTTTACTCTATCCCATTGGCCTGCGTGATGGTTCATACCTGTAATCTCAGCAATTTGGGGGGCTGAGGCAGGAGGATTGCTTGAGCCCAGGGGTTTGAGACCTGCCTGGGCAACATAGGGGAGACCCTGTCTTTTTTTTTTTTTTAAAAAAAGGTCCTATTTAGATAGGAATGGGATGTGGCAGGTCCCAGATACAGGTTTGTAGATGGAACCATCACAGAACAAGGAGAGACTCAGCCTCGTTTCCTCACCCGGACTCATTGCTTACTCATGTCAACTACAGAGTCAATACCACAGGGACTCTGACACCTGAGTCCCTGGGGGAAGGGTTCCTAACACCACCTTCCCCAGGAGGGGCTGTGATTGGCTCCAGGGTGTTGCTGCCCAGCTGTTCCCAGGTTCTTGCTCAAGCCCTGGGAGACCTACAGCTGATGGGCTAGTTTGACACCCTTGTTCAAGGCCAACTCACAGTTCCAGGTGACGTGAATAACTGCCCTGGCCTGGCCATTCACCCTTCTCTGCAGGTGTCCCACACCCAGAGGTGGCCAATCAGTGCCCAATAGTGCTGTCCTCCCCTTGTCTCTGGCATTTGGCCCTTGGTCCTAGGCAGGGGTCAGGGCGCACTAGGCTCTAGATTCATGGGTGGGGGCAGGGAACAGTACTGAGTGGGGATGAAATAGATGGTGCAGTCTCTTTTACTGATGTCCTCAGCATAACATGTGGGTCCCTGCTGTGCCTCATGTGCCTCCTGGGGACACTCAAAGAAATCAGAGCCCCACCAGTCTCCTCGGAGAGCTGAATAAATATGAGGGACACAGGAGCTTAGAGGATAATACTTATCAGAAGGTTAAGGTGACACTGACCTTGATTAGGGAGCTGACGACAATGGCACCAGCATTGACCATGGGGTTATGGGGAATTCCTGGAGAAATACAAACCACCAAGAGAGTCTTAGCCACTGAGCAAAGCCTCCCTGACAGCCCACTCACTTTGTGGGTCAGACAAGATTGTTTGCTGGGAAGAAAGGTATGACAGGGCTAATCAGGAAGGGAAGAGAAACAAAAAAGGCTGGGGGATGGGGTGGGGATAAGGAGAAGGGGACGGCTATAAGTATGGTCTGAGCCTTGGTGGTGCTCACCATCCTCATTGAGGGAGAGCTTGTTGTAGCGCAGGCCACTGGGCTCTTTGCCCACAAACTTGTGCACGTAGTCAGTGCCTAGGGTGCTTATGGAGATGGCATAGGTGAGGGGCTTCACACAGGACTGCAGGCAGAAGGGGATCTTTGTGTGGCCCACAGAGTGCCTGGAGGCAGACAAATGCCATGAAAGAGGTTGGCTTGTATTTGGCACCTGTGCCCTGCCTCCCCTTCCTCTTTGTCCAACATCTCACCGCTGACCATCCACAGTGCACAGGGAGACACCCCACAGGTCTGGGTTTGACTTGGCCAGTTGAGGGATGTAGGCTGCCACCTGGACATGAGTGGGTAGAGAAACGGAAGATGGGATGTGGAGAAGAGGAACAGAGTTGAGGTTGAGGACCAAGAAAATCTTTTAGATAAAAGCTAAAATTCTCCCTCCTGTAGGGCAAAAGGGTTCCCTCCTGCCTGTTGCTCCCAGAAATGCCCGAACCTTAAGTCCTAGAAGGCTGTATCTTTCTGCATCCCCAATCCTGTAGAGATGGCAGTAAACCCAATGGAAGTTAAGAGAGAGAGAATTCTGAGGTCACCTCCTTTTGGTTCTTAGGCTCAATTACCCTGTAAATCTCTTTAAAGGCTCTATTGAATCTTCTAGGAATTGTGTATAAAAACACATGGAGCCATGTCCCCATTTACAGAAGTTCTGCTTCTCATCTCTCATTCATAGGATTCCCAGCCCCAGGAAATCTCTGAGAAGCAAGTTATATGTGAGCTGGGCACTGTGGCTCATACCTGTGATCCCAGCACTTTGGGTGGCCGAGGCGGGTGGATCACTTGTGGTCAGGAGTTCGAGACCAGCCTGGCCAATATGACAAAACCCCATCTCTACTAAAAATACAAAAATTAGCTGGGCATGGAGACATATGCCTATAATCCCAGCTACTCGGGAGGCTGAGACAGGAGAATCCCTTGAACCCGGGAGGCAGAGGTTGCAGTGAGCTGAGATTGCACCATTGCACTCCAGCCTGGGTGACAGAGCAAGACTCCATCTCAAAAAAAGAAAAAAAAAAGATATCTGGCCCAGGTCCCTGACCCCTCCCTTAGTCCCCTGGCTCTCACTTTGCCTCCAGTGAGCTCTTTGGCATCCTCAAAGATGCGATCCACATGGCCCGTGAACTCCTCAAAATCAGGAATCACAAACTTCTTTCGGAATGCCTGGGTCAGGAGCACAATGTTGCTGCTCACACACCTGGATCCCAGACACGATTGGATTAGGGGGCTAGAGAGATGCAGCTGGAACTCACTCTGGAGCCATGGAAGTTGGGAATAAAGAAGGTTGTAGGTTCAGGTTTGGGATCAACAGCTGTGTTACATTTGGCAAATCAGTTTACCTTTCTAGGTCTTAATTTCCTTACCTCTAAAATGAGGGTTTTTTTTTTTTTTTATATAAATCCAGGACATGCCAAGCCAAAAATGAGGGGTTTTAATGACATGGAAAGACACTATGTCTTGGGATGTGAGAAAAAAATAAATACCAGAATAATATGTATGTTATCTTGATATTTTAAAAATCCTAAATCATGAAAGTATATTTACATATATTCATGTATGTATGTAAATACATAGGACATTATCTAGAAGATACCCACTAATCTGTTAATACTGTTTACTTCTGGGAAAAGAGGACAGGGATTACGTAGGAATGGAAAGGAGAGCATGTATTTCCATATTGTTTGAACTCTTACAATGAGTATTCATGTATACCTTATGTAATAAGTAATGAAATAAAATGAGGAATTGAACTATACAATTCCCAAATTCCTCCCTGTTCTGAGAGTTTATGTCCACAGGACAGTTCTGAGAGAGCAGTGCGCTTGTTTCTGGGGCCCTCACTTTCGGAAGAGACCTCGATCCAAGAGGCCACCACTACTGGACTCTTGGACCACACGGTGCATCTCGTTCATGCAGTCTCGGAGCCGGGGATCTGATGTCTGCAGTCCAGTGGCCTTTAGTGCCTTTAGAGGAAAGAAGAGGCCAGTAAGGTCAGCTACAAGGACAGTGTTATACTCCTTATAATCCTTCCCAGTGGACACCCAATTAGCTGAACCCCAACCACTACAACAGGTGGAACACATAGGTTTGGATAATAAGAAAGGAGGGGATGGAGCAGCTCTGAAGGCTAACAGGGGTTTTCTGTCCTTTTTCCATGAGCCAGGGGGTTCAATATTCTGACCCTGGGGCAGGAATGGGCTTGTCAGTCTAGACATCTGGATTTTCATCCATCTGTGCGCTTCACCTTCATGTAGCAACCCATTAGCTGCCCTTCACTTGTCATACCTTCCTTTCCCCACTTTCCAGAGAGCTTAAGGAATTAGGGTTCTCAACAAGCAAAGAGCAACTTACAGTGGTGAACTTGTGGATAGGGATTCGTTCCTGTCCTTCAGCAATAGTGTAAAAGAGCAAATCACCCAGGCGGGACAGCATGCCACTTTCTGATGAATCACTGTTTAGGAGCAGAGAATGGGGAGGAAAGTGGAGCCTGAGAACTGCCACCTGCTCCTCCTGCAACATGGACTTATAAATAGGTGAGCATCCTCATTCTATGCCTCCTTGAACCATCTGATCTAACCTTATAATTCTAACTTTCATGTCTGTCCTGAGAAGTTGTAGATCTCTTCCATAGCTTTCTTTTACTCCTGACCTTCAGATCTTTATTTTTAGGTGCCTTCTGACACTTCCACTTATAGGTGCCCCACAAGCACTGAAAACTCAACATGTCCAAACCTGAGTCATCTCGCTGCCTTTACTCTTCTGTTTCCCACCTGGGTTAACAGCATTACCACCCACCTGGGTGCCAAGCTGGAAATGTGGCATAATTTTGATAATTTCCACATCTTAAGTCCATGCTTAGTTGGTCACCAACATTGGATGAATCTGCCTCATAATGTCTCAAATCCACCCTCTCTTCTCCTTTTCCCTGTGCCAGCATGGTAGACCAGAGTTTGCCCCTTAATAACTGTGATCTTGAGCAGGTCGCTCAATATTGATGAACTTGCTTCCTTATCTGTAATACAAGGGTAGTAATGTCTACTTCACCTGGGTGATGTGAAGCTTAAGATAATATTCCATGAAAAAATGTCTGACACAAAGTAGATGTTCAATAAATCATGCTTATCATCAGCTTCTTATTGCCTGTTACCTAATTGCAACTACACTCTCTTGAATTTCAATCCATCTTTTTTTTGTTTTGGAGACCAAGTTTTGCTCTTGTTGCCTCAATCCACCTTCTAAAATGTGCCAGTGATCTTTATAAACTCAAATGTAATTTCTCTACTCAAAAACATTTGGTAGCTCCCCAGTGCCTAAGAATAAGTTCTTGAATTAAGAATTAGGCTGGGTGCGGTGGCTCACTCCTGTAATCCCAGCACTTTGGGAGGCTGAGGCGTTCAAATCACCTGAGGTAAGGAGTTCAAGACCTGTCTGGCCAACATGGAAAAACCCCGTCTCTACTAAAAATACAAAATTAGCCACATGTGATGGAGCATGCCTGTAATCCCAGCTACTCTGGAAGCTGAGACAGGAGAATCGCTTGAACCCGGGAGGCAGAGGTTGCAGTGAACCAAGACTGCATCATTGCACTCCAGCCTGGGCAAAAAGAGCAAAATTTTGTCTTAAAAAAAAAAAAAAAAAAAAAAACTTGGTAAGGCATTAAAACCTCTTTAAAACCTGCCAATTGGTGGGGCGCAGTGGCTCACACCTATAATCCCAGCACTTTGGGAGGCTAAGGTGGGTGGATCACCTGAGGTCAGGAGTTTGAGACCAGCCCGGTCAACATGGTAAAACCCCATCTCTACTAGAAATACAAAAATTAGCTGGGCACAGTGGTGAGCACCTGTAATCCTAGCTATTCGGGAAGCTGAGGCAAGAGAATCATCTGAGCCTGGGAGGCAGAGGTTGCAGTGAGTCGAGATTGCGCCACTGCATTCCAGCCTGGGAGGCAGAGGTTGCAGTGAGTCAAGATTGCGCCACTGCATCCCAGCCTGGGCAACAGAGTGAGATTCCGTCTCAAAAAATAAAAATAAAATAAATAAAACTTGCCAACTTAACTTTCCCTTTCCCCATCATGCCCACACACTCCAGATATAACAGACAATATAGATGGTTCCCCAAAATGGACTAGAGACTGTGAAGCTTCCTAGCCTTTGCTTATGCTGTAACTTCTACATAGAATGACCTTTGGTTAGCATGGTCCTGCTTATTTTTCACGGTCCAGATCAAATGTTCCCCAAACCTCCAGGTATTGCTTGTTTGACACTACACACCATCTTACTGATGGAAGAATATCCCTTGCTCCACTGTTAGGTCTTTGTGTTTTATACAACTTTTGTCTTCCCAGCACTGAGCAAAGTCCCTAGCACACTGTGGGTCTTCAATAAGAATTACTAAATTATATTGCTAGCAAGGTCCCTGTGCCCCAAAGTATATCTCTGGCTTATAGTACCTAAAATTCCAGGTGCTGAAGACTTCTTGGTTTCTTCAGTACCTAAAATTCCAGGTACGGAATATTTCTTGGTTTTCAAGATTTCTATTAATATGTTAAAAGATTTAGAAGAGTTATTATTATTATTTTTTTTTAAGTAGAAAAGGGGTCTCACTATGTTGTCCAAGCTGATCTCAAACTCCTGGACTCAAGTGATCCTCCCACCTCAGCCTCCGAGAGTGCTGGGATTACAGGCATGAGCCACACCATCCAGCCAAGCAGAGTTTTTTTATCAGATTATTTCCAAATATGACAGCTAGTTGAGATTAAGACTCTTCAAAGATGTTTGACTCAATAATTTGATTTCCAGGGATTTATCCTACAGGTATATTTACATACCTAAAAAATAACATATTTACAATTTTTCATCACATTGTTTTGTTCTGTTTTGTGAGATGGAGTCTTGCTCTGTCACCCAGGCTGGAGTACAATAGCGCGATCTTGGCTCACCGCAACCTCCACCTCCCGAGTTCAAGCGATTCTCCTGCCTCAGCCTCCTAAGTAGCTGAGATTACAGGCACGCACCACCACGCCCAGATAATTTTTGTATTTTTAGTAGAGACGGGGTTTCACCATGCTGGCCAGGCTGGTCTCAAACTCCTGACCTCGTGATCCACCTGTCTCAGCCTCCCAAAGTGCTGGGATTATAAGCGTGAGCCACCAAGCCCTGCCTTTATCACATTGTTAGTAAGATTAGAAATACGGTGGCTCACGCCTGTAATCCTGTCACTTTGGGAGGCTGAGGCAGGTGGATCACAAGGTCAGGAGTTCAAGACCAGCCTGGCCAACAAGATAAAATCCCATCTCTACTAAAGATACCAAAAATTAGCCAGGTGTGGTGGCATGTGCCTGTAATCCCAGCTACTTGGGAGGCTGAGGCAGGAGAATCGCTTGAATCCGGAGGCAGAGGTTGTGAGACGAGATCGCACCATTGCACTCCAGCCTGAGTGACAGGTCGAGACTCTGTATAAAAAAAAAAAAAAAAAAAAATTTAGACCTGATGTGCAATAGGGAAAAAATTGCACCTGATGTGCAATAGGGAACTGGTTAATTATGGTATATTCATATAATGGGATATTATGCAGTGTAAAAAAAAGAAATTGGGGCATGCTCTAAGTATTGATATGGAGTTATCTCTAAGATATAATATTAATTAAAAGAAGCGTGTCATAAAACAGTATACAGGGCCGGGCGCGGTGGCTCAAGCCTGTAATCCCAGCACTGTGGGAGGCCGAGGCGGGTGGATCACGAGGTCAAGAGATCGAGACCATCCTGGTCAACATGGTGAAACCCCGTCTCTACTAAAAATACAAAAAATTAGCTGGGCATGGTGGCGTGTGCCTATAATCCCAGCGACTCAGGAGGCTGAGGCAGGAGAATTGCCTGAACCCGGGAGGCGGAGGTTGCGGTGAGCCGAGATCGCGCCATTGCACTCCAGCCTGGGTAACAAGAGCGAAACTCCGTCTCAAAAAATAAAAAAAAATAAAAATAAAAAAAAAACAGTATACAGAGTATGGTAGTATTTATGTTTGTTTGTTTGTTTTTAGAAATGGGGTTTAACTGTATTACTCAAGCTGGCCTTGAACTCCTGGGCCCAAGTGATCCTTCTACCTCAGCCTCCCTAGTAGCTGGAACAACAGGTGCATGCCACCATGCCCAGGTTTATTTATTTTTATTTTTTAATTTATTATTTCAATAGGTTTTTGGGGAACAGGTGGTATTTGGTTACATGAATACGTTC